TGTGATGCCTCCTTCTCCCATATGCTCTTCCAGAACTGTTCAGTCTCCAGCCTTGTGAGTCTGCTCTCATGTTCCTACCCTGCCACTGAGAGTACACCTTGGATGGCTCAGTGGAGAACATTCGGTTTATTCCCCTGGCTTCAATTTCTCTGGTGTACGTCTTCAGCTGGGCGGCCAGGGCAGTGAGCCTTTGCTTGGCAGTCTCTAAGGCCTCAGGTATGGACAGTGAGTTGTACTTCTTAGGTACCCCTTTCTTCATCACGCTTTTCTGCAATTCTGATAGCTGGCTAACTTCTCTCCATGTTGCCTTGATCTTGGTCTCCAACCTCCTTCTCCATGGAGGATACTGCTCCTTATGGTCTTTGTTGAACTTACAGCCAAGCATCTCAAGGATCACGGTTGCTGTGGTGTATATGAGCTTGTTGGTTTCAGTGATGGTCGTAGGGATTGTTCTTAGTGCTGCATTCACATCCTCTAGTAGACTTTCAGAAGGCACTTCACTTAGTCTTGGTAACTGACCACGGGAGTTCCAGGTGTCCATCTTGCTCATGATGTTCAACCTCAGGTCAGCTGCTTTTGAATCAAGCTCATCCAGGCCTGTTATTGGGTTTTGGTACCCAATCTCCAACTGTGGGGGTGATGATGGTGATGATGATATCTCCCCCCTGACCTGTCGTCCTGGCTCCCCCTTGCTGGAGCATTCGTGTTGTTCCTCGTCAATCTCTAGTTGTGATAGCAGATGCTTCTTGCAGATGTTAGAGCACTGAGCTACTAGTTGTTTCGATGTTAGTGTAGATATTGGGTTTCAAAGTATCCATAGGTCCCACATTCTCTGTGTGTAACCCCTCTCACTGGGGTTACTTGTATAGTAGCATTCCAATAGTTCACATCTATCTACATCTATCACTACGACCTTCTTCTTCTGTTTGTCCACCACTACTATGTCCAGTTGGTTGGCCATTGAAGGGTGCAGTCCTAAGAACAGCTAAGATACTGCACAGGACTCTCAAGCTCCCAGACCTCTGGTAGAGGACCCGAGCTTGAAGGAAGGAATAAAAGACCGTCCTGAAGTAGGGCGAGTGGGAGATTTTTTTTTATGTGTGTGCGTGTGTATATGTGTGAACAGTACTCAGACAAAAACCTTTTAGCTGTTAGATTGGATCAGAAAGCTGAGAGAACACAGTATCCAAAGGCCAGGTGCAGCATCTGCACTTTTGGCCTTTGTGTGGTTCTGTGGCAATAAAATCTTGGAGTAATCAGCCTATAATGACATAAATTGAAAGCATAACAGTCTGTTGTACAGTCTGCTGTCCAGCCTGTGGTTACTGCCTTTGTTTAAATGTCCATGCATGTGTCAGTGTGTGCTGCAGCTGCTTACCTCCTCATCGTTAGGCTGCAGTATGTGGTAGAGCCAGGTAATCTCTCCCAGTTTGCCCAGTTCCAACTCCACACTCTGCAGAGCACTGGACAGCTGCTCCTCCTCTGGCGGGTCCAGCTGCTGTGAGGGGGAGAAAACTAGTCGAGATCAACTACTCATAGAAGAACTGTGGAAATAACAACTAGACTTCTCAAATAGTAAAAGAAATGGAGGAAAAGTTCTTCGAACTTCATTAATACAACAATAAAGTCAGTATTACAGTCATAATGACTGACCAGAGAGACTCGGCCCAGCAAGAGAGACTCGGTCTCGTTGTAGAGTGCCTTGACAGTGCTGGCCACCTCCATAGCTGTGTTCCTAGTCAGACTCTGGAAACAGGACAACAGTCAATATCAAATATAACACAGCAGACACAAACACAGAAGAGCACAGTGCTTTATATAACAATTCTGGAAGTGGATTGAAAAGATTAACTAATGACAGGTTCAATCAAACTAGTCCAGTCAGGGGTCTCATATGTAGTAACATATCATATAGCTTCTGATTAGTTCAGTCATTAGTAAAATTTTATATATGACTGCTTTCAAATGTGGGTTAGCTGCATACATTGCTGACAATACCTATACAGTAATGTATGTATGTAGTTTTACTACACACTTTCAGTGGTTCTTCAAACACAATATGGTTGCAGTAAACTGTAAATGTAATTCAAGTGAGACCTGTAAAATATCATGAGCAGTAGACACTAGTTTCTCTGTGATGCTCAGCTCGACATAAACAAAGCTTAACCAAAGCTGTAGGTCCCCTCTAGTTACAAGTGAGTTTTGTCTCAACAAATGGGTTCAGACTATAACTGCAATTTCTGTGGTCACAGCAATCACATTTGGAAGACATGGGTTGTCTTAGAAAATGAGCAGCCTTGAACGAAAACCGCTGTGTGTTGTGTGTTGACAGCTAACCTCTGGAAACTTGGGGTGTGTTTTGTTGATGGCATGAGATGCAGCATTAACAGCATGAGCCAGCTCCTGCTCTAAGAGCCCATTGGTCTTGGCAGCCTCACATATCCTGTGATCAGACACAGCACAGTTCATGATAAAACAACACTAAATGATTGTTTATTGGATTTTTCATATATCTGTACAGCTTGTGGATCTCTAGGGTGAGACGTGATATTCATCGCAGTAGATGCACCTAGTGATAAGCTCCTCTGCAGCTCGTGCACACATCTGCACCAGGCCAGCCTCCTCCTCTGTAGCCAGGTCCACAGACTGTTGTGTGTAGAGGTGAGGCCGCAGAGGAGGCTTATCATACTTCAGCTTGTCCTCCCATGACTTCAACGTGTTCTCAAATGCCTGCAGAGAAAATCAGAGCTTAAGTATTCACCATGAGAAGCACTTCTTTTAAAGCCTTGTTTCCCACCAACCCTTTTCACTTGTACTCCTTTTATTCTCCAGACTCTCTCCCTCCCTGTGTCTCACCCGGTCCCTGGTGAGCATCTGAGCTCTGTTCTTGTGCTGGATCTTGATAACTCCAGGCGGCTGGATCCAGGCTTCACCATCCACCTGAATGGGGACCCCCTCATCACCGAGGATGGTGATTTTCACCGTTCGACACTGGTTCAGGCACAGAAACACAGATTAGGTGAATGTATTTGTACATACACTCACTTCAGAGACTATTCAGGCCTCTGGACCTGTGTTGTGGAGTTCACTTTAAATGGATAAAAGTGCCATTTATGCCCCTCAGTCTACACTCAGTAACCCATAATGACAACGTGAAAATGTGGGTTTTCATTATTGAGAAATGTCTCTTATACAGGTCTGACTGATAGAGAACTGCTGAGATGGTCGTCCCTCTGGCAGCTCCTCCATCTCTGCAGGAGATTTCTGTGTGAATTCCTTTCCTTTCTGTGTGAATTATGTCAGGTGAATTACACACCTGACATAAATAAAGTTGTCTGATTCTGAGGCTCTGTTAGAGGGACTGTTGTGTTCTTATCTCTCTGACCAGGAGCATTCTTGCCCAGTCTGAACACTTTCTGAAGCCACTGCACGTGTAGATTTTCACTTGGCGTTGTTTTCAGTGTGTGCTCTCACCTGTGCTATGCGGTGGTGTTGCAGTTTGATGACTCTGGACACAGCCATCTGCATACTCCCAAACACAGCCACAACTTCCAGGATCTTATCATCAAATGATGGGGCACAGAAGATCTGCACAACACAGCAACGACAAAATGTTCATCTGTGCCTCAGTGATGTCTGACTCTCCTAACCTGTCAGTCGCGGGTCCCAGTTCCATTACTAAGCCTAAGCAATTTCCTCAATATTACTGAGCAATGTTAAAAATGATACTCCTGTAATAAATAAATATCTGTGCTGATGTGGTCTAAACTGGTCAAGAGAAATCTAAACAAGTTTACACAGAAATTGACCTTTTCTCCGACTGGCTTTAAAAAAATCCTGGCAGGACCTCAGCGTCTGTTAAAAGGTATTTAATTCTATTTATGCAGAAGTTAGAATACTGGTTAGAAAAATCACAATAAGATATTTTCCTCAAATCATTCAGTCGTAGTCCGTGACACAAAGGAATAATAACATAACACATATCAGGCTTTAACTCCACAGGAAACAGCAGGAAAAATTCATTAATGGTTTTAGTCTAGTCATGACATTTACTGGCAACAATAAAACTATACAATATCATCAGCCTTATATCCTGTAATGTAACTGTGACAGGTATATCTTTTTTAAAAACCTCCCTTTGCTCCACTCTGAATGAGAAATGCATAGTTTGTGGAAGAAGCAGCTCTGGTATCGATCTCTGCTGACAAACTGCCTGTGAAAAGGTCAAAGCCATGAGGAGTCAGCATCTGGCTGAGTACACAGAAAACAGCGCAGTGCAAAAAATAAAATAAAAATTGCTGGACACGCTATAAAATTATCAAGGAGAACATTATGAGATGTGTTGTCGTGTGGAGCTGCGGCCACTAGATGGAAACCAGAAGACAGCGAACAGGAGGTTGTGCACTGAATCTGGTGCTAAAATAGAAGTGAAAAGCTGTCAGCAGTGACAAAAGAATGTGTATTTCAAATAAACTCAATCTTTGTATTATGTATCAAAATATATGATTTGACTACAGAACAGGCTGAAAACGTAATGTTGTGTATGTTTGTGAGTCTCTGTTTCTATGTACATGAAGACAATTTAATTAAATGTTCTCTCCTTGTCTTTCCCTCCTCTCCAGCAAAACAGTTACATAACACCACATGCACATACTGGATGTGTGTGTCCAAGGGTAACCTCTGCAGGGGCTCACCGAGGGGTGTGTATGCATGTGTCTAATCCCTCCACAGGCCCTGTGCTCAGAGCCTTAGACAAACAAGCACACATACAGTATGAACAATCCCTACTACAACCATCCCTCTCCCTGCACTTCCAGCCTGTCAGGGTCATGCTCAGCTTTGTTGTTCCAACCAAGAGTGAGTCACAGAGAGAGAGAGAGATGGAGCCTTACACCAGGATCCCAGCCAAGCTTTGACATTAACTTAAAAAGACCCAGGTGATCTGACTCACCTGCCAGCAGGATGTGACACTACACAGAGCTCAGTGTGAACATCTAGAGTACAGTGCATGTACTCACATCATCCTCCTTAGTGCCACCCCAGAAGTTGGTCCCGCCTGCGTAGCTAGGTATGTTTAACACAGCGATCCCCTGAAGGCTGGGCAGCGGGATGTACTGGCCGTCACACTGGGAAAACAATAATCAAGCAGAGCTCAGCTGGACCAGTAACATAAGGGAGCAGGGAAGGTATACGTGTCTATAAACGAAATTCAGGCTGTCTGGGTATTTTAGCAAACATTAAATCTAATATAACTTTTGTTTGCATCTGTTTGCATCTGTTTGTTTGCATTTGTTTGCTTGAATTAATTACAAGCTGAAAAAGCCATAAAGCTGTAAAAAGCCGATTTCTGATTGAATATAGATCAAATTTTTAAAAGTACGAATGGGCAGTCTAACAGTATATACAGAATATTCCTGAATGTGCAAAGCTGGAAGCCTGAGCAGGCGTTTTGCCTCGCTAACACTACACGTTGTATTTGTCTTATTGTAGCTACCTGTATTATGGTTGTTTGAATCATTTAATGCATTTTTTATATAAATAACCTAACAAAGCCTGCAGACAATGTGGTTTTCAGAACCTAATATCATGTCAAGTTGGGTGACATCAGTAAAAGGCCACCGACTGGACTGGGTGTCATTTGTCTTTATGGATTTGAAGCTGAAGAAGGGTGGCGGCTGTTCTCCTAAACATCCAAATCAGTTTCTAAATTACACTTGAGGTGAGAAACAGGCCAAGCAACTGCAGAATCGTGCTTCACATCACATCTACAATACTTAGCTTAAATAGTGTTTCAAGAGGTTCAAGAGTGTTGTGAGAAGTGGTGAGTCACATCCTCAGCTAAATCACACCCCACTGTTAGCTGACTGGCTCCCAGTTGCCTGGGTTTACACATTTCTAGAGGTTTTTTAGACAAATTAAATCTGCATATACATTCAGCAGAGTATTTTCAAAACCTCAAAAGCCTTGCTGTTTTTCTCCATCTTACCTCTAGCTGCACCTTCTGCTCCAGGTTCTTGTAGGTTCTCTGCAGAAGCTCTTTTGTGCCCAAAACACCATACCACATCATGTTCTTGGTTCGACTCCTGTGCAGGAAGGAGCAGAGGGTGTGCACAACAGCACACAGCAACAGGACTGTTGTGACATTAACTGGAAATATATATGAATATATTCTCTCTCGGCTCTGACTGGAAACAGTCAACATCAACATCTGGGAGAAGTGTGGGCTGTGAGATATGAAATAATGGAGTAAACACCACCCAGACACTAGTAAGTGCTTCACACTTAGCAAAATGCTATAAGTATTCATTGTGAATTGCTGCATTCAGTGATAATACTGAGTCAGAACATATAAAAACAGACTTCTCTTATTTATGTAGTATATGAAAGTAGACGTCAGGCAAATGACCGACTTTCACTGCTGTCAAAAAACCTTCCCTTGATGGAGACTGCTAGTAAGAGTGACTGTTGCTCAGTGGTTGTGGAGGCACCTGGGCTTAGGTCATATGTCTCACCTGCACTTCTCTGGATGCTCCTCTCGCTTGTTGTTGAACTCCAGTGAGATCTTTGCGTCCAGGCCAATGCCAAAGTAGTTATTCATCACACACTTCTCCATGTAGCCTTCTCTGGGTGGCGGAGCAGCCACACAAACATGTAAACAGTCAGTAAGCTGAAGCTCACACACAAATACTGTATGATACGTACAAACACAGAGAAACAGACGTGGATATAGACAGAGAGAGAGACAGTAGAACCAGACCAATGTTCACATATAAAGAAACAAAGCAACAGTTACAGACTCTTACAGCGAGTCGAGATCAGGGTCGATGAAGGATGTGGCACCAAAGGGGTCGATGTTAGCCAGCAGCATCTTGCTAATGATGGAGCTGCCAGCGATAGAGGCAGCCAGACCAGCCCGCAGTCCTGCATGCACACACAGACATCCATCACACAAAGCTGAGCGGGAACGTCCAAGTGCTCCTGTTTGTGTGTTGCTTGTTAAGGTCAGGTGAAGGATTATTAGCTGTATGCACTGCCTGTGTGTGTGTGTCTTTACCGGGGCAGATGATGCGTGTGTTGAGTACGGGGAGGTTCTCCTTGCTGGTGGTGAAGGGGGTGATGGTGAAGGAGCCATAGGACTGGGTGCTGCGGCTCACCCTCCTCTCCGTAGGAGAACAGGGACTCTTAGCGGCTGCACACAGGGAGAAAAACTCAGGTCACTGTCTTGCCTTTTCACTACTTAACTTGTTTACCATACTGTATATTGGCATGTATGTATACCAGCAAGAGGGGGAACACTGGGAGGGGACCCCAAAACTGAAGGGTGGATTTGACCAGACCATAAGTTTCAGTTGATCAGCGTGTTTTTGATTTGTTAGGAGGGAGAGGGGAGGCAACAAGTAGAGGTCACAAATCAGAGGGTTTGACTGATACCTCCTTTTCTTCCAGTGGCTGGAGAATGTGTGAAAGGAAGGAAGCAGCCCCGTGATAAACAGGAAGAACTTCTGCCACTAAGACAATGACATGTCTTGTGACCGACGCGCACACACACACACACTCTCATATACGGTAGAGACACACTAGATACTTACACAGTAAATTGACTGTATTTATATAGCGCATTTTTTCCACAGTGTGTTGCACTGGCCAAAGCGCTTTACAGGAGATGATACACCATTCACCCATTCTCACACCGATGACAACAGGCTGCCACACAACAGCGCTAGTCAAACCACCGGGAGCAATTCGGGGTTCAGTGTCTTGCTCAGGGACACTTAGGCATGCAGGGACACCAGGAGTTAAACCACCAACTTGCTGGTCAGGAGACGACTGCCCTACCTCGTGAGCCACAGCCACCCTACACACAGTAACACACATACAGAATGTGCATCCACATACACAGCAGCACACATAACACACATTCAGATACATATAAACAGGCACACACAGACTTAATAGTGGCCTTGTTGCCACAGCTTCAACAGGTACCATCATTTAATATTAAGGAAGTTCTGTGTTGCCTCAGACTGTTGTGGAGACTGGAGATTGAGAGATAAACAATTTGGCCTGGCGAGAGAGGTGAAATTTCACAGGAGAGCAGGCTTCTCCATGCACTTTTAGCACTAATCCTTGAGTTTATTTATGACAGGAAACGGGATTTGCGTCAGCAGCACTTTTTGTTCCATTCACTGGTTCCCTGTAGCACAGGGAGCGCACTATCCACAAGGTGGCGACTTTTAAATCCTGTGTGACTTCCTATTGCATCTATTCACTTAAAAAAGTACAGTCATCTTCTAGACTTTGTCTTACAATAACATTTTCTTCTGTTTATGATTAAAAGGAGAATTATTAGCTCTTATCTTCATCTGGTCTCAGGTTTTGCCTAAATTATGGGAATGGCAATGTTTTCCACTCTCAGAAGAGGAAGAGAAGATGGAATGTGTTTGGACACCTCCACACGGTGAGGCACAGCCAAATTCTGCTATTTTGTCAAAGCAGGCCTCAGCCACTAATTCACAGAAATGTATGTTATGTGACAGTTAGTGGGAACAACATCAGCTGTCACACAGGCGAGCCTGGGCAGGTTGAGTGTTTTGGAAAGGGCACAGAGCGGAAATGCGTCAGGTCTCAGTAGTTAAAGGTTTGCAAGTTGGTCTCAGACTTGGAGCAGGGTGAAAGCAGAAGCAGCAGTACACTTACATGGCACCGTCTCCAGTTCTTTGGTGTCCTCATCCTTCTCACTGTCTCTGTTCTCCTCCTCACTGTCCTTCCTGAACTCCAGGGGAGACGGCAGATCCGTGTCCTCTGTGTGGGCGTTTTGCTCATCGACCACTAAACAGAGGAAGCACCGAAGGGATGGTGATAAAACCAGTTTCACATTTGGCATATCAGAGTCCATAAACAGTGATGTATAGGGGAAGTCTCCGTGCTTCCTTTGCATTTTAGTACCTCAGCTGGACAATACTACTTTACTGTACACAATAATACTACAATGAAAGTCAGGTGAACTGGGTTCAGCTGGGTCTTCCTTATATGATGACTCACCTCTCTCGGCCTGTTCTATGATTTGTCGCACAGCTTTCTTCAGGCTGTTGGCCCTGAGCATCAGCTGCTCCCTGCTTTTGAAGAGCTGGTGTGGGGAACCTCCTCCTCCTTTCTCTGTCTCCTCCTCCTCCAGCTTCTCCTTCAGTTCTGTCAGGCTCTCCTCGCTGGCCTCCTCCTCTTCCTCCTCCTCCTCTTCCTGCTCCTCTTCTACAAAAGGAGGTGTGGGGTGGGGAAGTGGAGGTAGAGCCTGACACTCGGTGTTGAGAGTCTGCAGGAGGGAGTCCAGCTTCTCATTCAGGATGCCACACTAGTAGGCACAAGGGGGTAGACACATGTGAGGCAGTGAATGTGCAAAAATACAATATATACAATATGAAATAAAGGGGAGCTGCCTTTCAGCACAGGCAGACGATGGATGTGAACCACACTTTGAGACTTACTTTGAGAGACATAGTGTCGCACTCGTCTGTGTTCTCTGTGCTTTTTTCATAGGCTTTCCCCACTTTGGCAACAAAATCCTTCACCGTTTCACACAGGATCCTAAGAAACAGGAGGAAGCGGTGTCTTGTGGTGTAATGCATGACATAGAAAGATGAGCTCAAGCAGCACTCTGACGGCCATTGTAAAAAAGAGGTATTACTGTTTTTACAGACACATTAAACCTGCCAGGTTCTTCTGTTGGGCTGGGGTGTTACAGACTCACTTGGCCGAGGAGATGACCACAGAGTGCTGCTCAGAGTTGAGGATCTTTGTGAGGTGAGCAGCTACTGAGTCTTCATAGGTGGAAATGTGAAACTGGAGAGAAAATACACAGAACAAATATTATAAATGTGTTGTGTGGTAGAAAACAACACCTTAGCATGAAACCTCAAGCCAATGCTGTTCCTTTTCTCTCATCAGCACTTGAAAAACTGCCAAACTTTACTACATTATACTAAGAGCAAGACTCATTTTGAAGAAATTTCTGTTCCTTTGTCCAGTTTCAAACTGAAATAAGGTGAAGTTACATTGAAAATGTCAGGCACAACTTCCAGCATGTGCTCAGCTACCTCCCACCCCCTTCTGTCTGTCTGCGTTTGATTGTGTCTACTGCTGTGTGTGAGTATCCGTCAGCTGTTGCGAGCACCTGGCAGTCGTCAGCCCCCTCAGGCGTCGTGGGGCAGCTGTGTTTGGGTGGGATCTTAATCTCGTAGGTCATGATGCTCCAGCGATCCAGCATCTTGGTGCTGGCCCTCTCCAACTTTTCCAGGATCTGAGGCAGCTGGGCGTCATCATCGCATGACGGGCCCCAGCCTAGCACCCGCGCCAGATCGTTGCCCGTGCCCAAGGGCAACACCCCCAGCTGGCACTGAGACACAGGCAGAGGGTTTATTTGGTAATGGGCCTGCAGCATTCAGAATGTGGTCTGTGTGTGTCTGTGCATGCCTGCATGCCGGTGTGTGTGTCTTTATATGAGCTGGCCAGAAGCAAAAGCACATCAGCTCCTCTCTACTTGTACTTTAATATGTTCATGACAGCACAACTTTAGTTTATTTTTAACTCAGGAGAAACAAATTGACATAATAATCATAATATTTAGTTCTGCTGACATCTGCCGGCACCCATTCTGCCATGTATTACTTTACCTGTTTGTGTAGATTGAGTTTATCAATCTCTGAGAGGACCCAGCCCACGCTGCCATCACCTCCACACACCAGGATCCGGAAGTTATCGAACTTCTGAAACAGGCGCAAGCTGAAAGGCACACACAAACAAACATTAGCAGATCCTTATTTTTGTGCTGTGGAATGTTGTACATGCATACAGTAGACTCCCGGGTGTTTTATGTGTTTGCATCTATACACGTCAAATCTGGACAACCGTTTCAGTTTCTCCTCACCCAAGGTGTGGCCCGCCATTGACCAGGTCAAACACTTGAGCCGGGTTGAGGAGCTGTTTGAAGCGTCGCAGGAATTTCACTCCCTGGTTGTCACCGCTTTTGGAATTAACAAAAACCAGGAGGGGGCTGGCACATGATGGGGGACAGGTGGCTTTCCAGAAGCCTGAAGAGATATGGCAAAAGCAGGAAAACTGTTTAATGCTTTGAACACCACAAACAAAATCACACACAACTCCATTTTATTTAGAGTAATTTACAGCATATAAAACCAAAACAATCAGTGTGATTAGATACCCCTAAGGGTAAGCATAAGCAGAAAACACATTTGTGACTAATTTGGGTGAACTGTCCCTTTAATGCTCTGTGACCAGTAACCAGGGTACAGAGCTGGATGTCAGTGTGTAACAACGCTGTCATCGTTAAACAACCGCAAAGTCTCAGCGCATGAGACTGAGCATAAAAATACATGGGAACACAGTGCATGCCAAAAACATGTGCTTTGCTCTGTAGGAGCGTACAAACGCACACACTCATATACGGTAATCTGTGGGGGGTAATGCAACAAGCCGTTTCTGTGCTTACAACATACTCTGAACACCACTGTGTGCAGACAGCTCTGTGCATATTAAGGCTTCTACCTTGTGTGTGTGTGTGTGTGTGTGTGTGTGGCACTGACATTGACTCTTTTCTTTCCCCCTTGCATCTTCCTTCACTTCTTCTTCTGCTCTCTAATCTCTGTCTAATCTCTTCAGTTTCATCTCTCTCTCTGTGATCTTTTCATAAAGGAGGGGCTGAGGAAAAGCAAGTGGAAGAGAAGAAGAGAGGAGGAGAGGGGAGGAACGAAGAGGGGAGTCACAAAGCTCCAGCACGTGCTACAGTCTGTCTCTCAGCCAATTATAACCACCCCCCCTCCCAGCCTGCATTTGGGCAGAGGGGGTCCTGGCACGTGAGGAGATGCAGAGACAGCAAAGAGCAGACAGAGAGAGGCTGTTTTATTTGCCCTTCTTCCGTTTTCTGCTTTTGTCTTATCTTCCTTTCATCTGGATTTCCCATCCTCTCTTCCTCTTTCATCCATCTACCAATTAGCTGATGCCAGCTATGTCTTTGTGTGTGTATGTGTGCGCCAGCCACTGAATTTGGCAGCAGTAATCCAATCACACATGCTTATCAGGGTCTGTCTCACAGTTGCTGATCTCCATCTAGAATGGGTTTAATGTGGGCTCTGGCACACACACACACAGCAAAAATGGCATTGTCATACATGCTTCATGTTGCTCTGCAGGGATTTACAGAGCTCTTCTTCTTCTCCCGTGATGTGTGTGTGCTTTCATCAAACAACAAGTATGTGTCAATTTTCACAGCAATTTGGGAAGCATCTAGTTATTGTTCTTCTCTCTCTCACACTCTCACTCTCTCTCACACACACACACACACACACATCTTGTCTCAGGATCTGTTTTAAAGCCCTCAGACAGGTGCGTGTTGACCAGTCAGAGCAATTTTTAACCACTTCACTACACAGGAAACAGCAAATTTCCTGGAACACATACCAAAGCTCTGTCTTATGACTAGCAAGACGCTAATAAGAAAATATGGATTTGATGTTGATGCCATGATCATCCCTCTCTCCCTCTCCTCCCTCCAGGTCAAAGTTCAGAGAGAAGCCATCATTTGACCAAACAGGAAGAAATCTCATGTATTCACCTCTGAAATGTGATGATTGCTCCTACAGTAGGTGATGTCTGGCATCAACCGCTGACCCTTTGAGTTGCGTGACTGTATGTGTGACTGTGTATATGCATGTGTGTGAATGTGGTGTCTACCGTCTGAGTCGATGCTGTTGAGCGCTGTAGGGGGAATGATGGAGACTTTGCACTGACCCAGAGGGCACTTGCGAGGGTACAGGTCCATACAGGCTGTGTGCACCTGGAAGAAAATATTCATTATTCAAGAAGTTCTTGTCTTTTCGCTCATATAAATAAACAGGCAAATGAGAAATCCTAAACAATTTTACATGCCATCTGCTTCACTGTTAATTTAAAGGATGGGGTCATAGTCTGTCTTCAGACAATACTGTCCATATGTACATGAGAATAGGTTCTAACTATTCCCACTCTCCACAGTGGCCCTGTTGTTGGACAACAGTGGAAGTCTACAGCCAGGACCGATAAGCTAAACCGGGGTCTGCCACACACATTGCACTGAGTCCACCACATTCACTGATGCTGTTAGTCTCTGAATGGGATTTGTTCATAATAAGCGTTCTGCGCTCTGAGTGCATTTGGTTTGTTTATCGTGAGTCGTGCAGCACTGCCCCCTGTGGGTTATATGGCAGCAGTAATCTTGAGAGACAATGTAAAGTTAAGTCACACATGGTAGCCTGCAAGGTTTCTTCTTCTTCTTCTTTTGGCTGTTCCCGTCAGGGGTCGCCACAGCGAATCATCTGTTTCCACCTAACTCTATCTCTCTGTCACGCTAATCTGTACAAGTCCTTCCCTTGTGTCTAACCTGGCATACAACTCATCATATGCTTTCTGTTTGGCAATTGCCACCTCCCTCTTCACTCTATGCTGCAATTTCTTGTAATCCTGTCTACTGTCTTCAGTCCTTTCTACGTCCCACTTCTTTTTAGCTAGCCTCTTCCTCTGAATGCTGTCCTGTACTTCCTCATTCCACCACCATGTTTCCTTATCTCCTTTCCTCCTTCCAGATGACACACCTAGCACCTTCCTACCTGTCTCCCTGATCACTTCTGCTGTAGTTTCCCAGTCATCTGGAAGTTCTTCCTGACCACCCAAAGCCTGTCTCAACATCTGTCTGAATTCCTCACGCCATTCTTCCTTTTGCAACTTCCACCACTTGGTCTTCTTTTCTGTCTTTTCCTCTCCTCTTCCTCCTGACCAGCAGAGTCATCCTATACACCACCAATGCTGTCTGGCTACATTTTCTCCTACCACCACTTTGCAGTCACTAATGTTTCTCAGATTGCCTCGTCTACATAGAATGTAGTCTCCCTGCATACCTCCTACCTCCACTCTTATATATAACTCTATGTTCCTCCCTCTTCTGGAAATAGGTGTTAACTACAGCCATTTCCATCCTCTTAGCAAAGTCCACCACCATCTGTCCTAGGTTCCTTTCCTTAACACCAAACCTGCCCATCACCTCCTCATCCCCTTTGTTCCCCTCACCAACGTGCCCGTTGAAGTCTGCCCCAATC